GTTTTCATGCATATGTTGTAAGGTATTGTGTTATGTTGGAACTCCGTAGCCAAACCACTTTCATTTTATTAGAACAGCTTCAGCTTTAGGAACTTAAATAGCATGCTGAAACAGCATTTTTCTTCGCTCAGTGTCTTGATGTGCACACTGAAGAAAGTAAATATATAAATGCTATTGATACAGCGAGATTACATTTTTTGAATAACAAAGTTATAACAGTTTTACTGTATTTGGTAGGACGTGGTATAGTCTGAGTCTCAACTGTTTTAAATAAAAATGTATTGAAAAACAGAAGGCTTTTAGCCACATGCAAAACCTACAGAAAAACCTTTAGATAATTTAGTTATTCTGTGTTTCTGTTGAGTTTGTTGCCTGCGTGAAAGTGTCAATTCATGAAGAAGTTAATATTTTATCCATGCACTGAAAATAGAAGTACCACAATATTTGGCTTTTTAATATCTTTCAAACATGCATCAGTAGCTGATACCAAGCCAGACAAACTGAAATACAACACCCACAAACAAGCTTTCAAGATGATCTGCGAAGCTCTGATGACGACACAGACTGACACACCAAGAACACAGATGGAGATTGTGTTGTTTCACTTCATCGATTTCAAAATAAGCATTAAATAATCTCTCACATATGAACAGATTACTGAAAAAATTGCTGTAATAGCTACAACTGCTAAAAATAGATTGTGATGTAACGTTGCAATGCACTGTGTGATGTAGCCCTAGACAAACAAACACTTTGCATGGGTGTCTGTGGGTCTGAGTTGCTCCGCTCGTCTCAAAAGTTGTAGTTTCATCTCCCAAAGATGTTCAAACATGAACAAACTATGCACCGCTGTTAGGGGTGGTGCCAATCTGACTCCTGATACCCAGATCAGACGTCAGAGGTGATTTTTTTTTTATCCATTTGCCAAAGCCGGGTCAGGGGCACAACCACATGAAACAGTTGGAAAGAAAATGGACAAGGCCAAAGAGAAAAAGCAAAGATGACAGCAATACTTGTGTGGAAGACCACATTTTCAGAGTGAGGAGCAGATCACAGAGTACGCATAAGTTTGTTACATACATTTTGCCAGTGGGAAAGGTCCTACGCCCGAGAATAATGAGCTGTTACTAGCAACGTTCTCAGATGTGGAGTTATCCAAGAGACAGAGGTGTAAACAAAGGAGTCCAGCTGCACGACTCAGCCCAACTGCATCCAAACGTGGATGAAAAAGGCTTTTGAACAGAGGTGGTATGTAAAACGTAGTGACACAAATAACAATTTATGATTAAAAAATAACTTAGAATACTGAGTCATGAGTAACTGAGCATAAATGTTTGAATATGATGTCTGTTGGGTTTTTATCAACATCCAATCATTTTTGTCCGTGTATTTTAAACTGGTAAATGCGGTTTGTTTGTCTAGCATTAGCAGCCAGCAGCCACCAGCAGCGGTGATGTCAACTGTAGAATATGATACAGTGTGTTGTAAACTCTATACTGTATTGGGCTTATATATAGCTTTTGTGGCATGAGCTACAAACCCACACTACACCAGCTTATCATGATAGTTTTCCCAAAAACTCATTCTGGTTTGTTTGCAGCCATTCATCATACTCAGTTGGGTGCAAACCCTTAGGTTTGCCACAAAGCTACAAAGATGACTAAGAGGTTCCAACCGTCCATAATAGATGCAAACTGGGGAAAGTACAATGTAAGTAGTAAAGCCTGCTCAAGTATTAACATTAAGGCCCTGTCCACACGTAGCCGGGGATCTGCCAAAACGTAGATATTTTTCTACGTTTTGGCCTGTCATCCACACGAAAACGGAGTTTTTTCACACGAAAACGGATCTTTTTAAAAACTCCGGCCAAAGTGAAGATCTGCGTTTTCTCCGTTTTGGGTGTCTGCGTGTGGACGGACAAAACCGGAGTTTTAAGGTCCGCAACGTCACTTTCCGCGACAAAAAATGCTGACATCACGTAGGGCTGCTCAATTAATCGAATTTTAATCACGATTACGATCTGAGTTTTGAACGATTATAAAAAACAAAACAAGCCGATTATTTGCTCCTCCCGCTTGCGCTGCCCTGAGTTGCAAATGAAGCGCTCCTCACAGTGTTGCCAACTTAGCGACTTTGACGCTATTTCTAGCAGCTTTTCAGACCCCCTTCTTGACTTTTTAATCCTAAAAGTACCTAGCGAACATCTCAGAAACATCTCTGGTAACCCTTAGCTACTTTCTGGATAACGGTCGTCGACATTTCCTGCAGGTTAGCTAAACACTCCGCCTGAGCTCCGGACCGTTCTTCACAACATTAGGAAAGGGAATGATGTAGTGATGTGTCGGTCGCTAAAGACAGCTCTCGGAGCCGGCTCCTTGTTGGATTAACCAGAGTGAGTGACACACACACCGCACCTGCGGACTCCTGAGCAGCTAAAAACAGCTAAATGTGCGCGTGCAGCGCGCTAAACACACGTGCAGCTTGCCCGATTGCTGTGAGACCGGGTTGGGGGGTGGGGGGGTGCAGCTGTGGTTGGGACAATTATTACATTAACTGATGGACTTGTAAATAAATAGTTTATAAATAAGGTAGAAATAAGTTCCTCACGCTGATAACTAATAACTAACCTCTCTGAGGACACGGTGCTCCTACAGCACCTTGACACGACTCAATAAATGTTATGCAACATTTTGTGAACATCAATTTATTTGCATTTATTTGTTATAAATGCCACTGTATAATTCTTGCTGTCAGTATTTGCAAGATATTGGTATTTGGTTCTGTACTGGTTAGACTTAAATGAGTTAAACCAAGGTCTATAGCCCTTGGGTCATAGACTATGAGCTATAAGTATATTGGTCTTTTTATAATCAGGAGTTATTTTAGTGATCATCTTGTTTCTTATTTTTGTCCTAATTGTGCCCTGAGCAATTTTATGACTGAATAAAAACAAATAAAATCATCATAAATTGAAAAATCGTCCTAAATAATCGTGATCTCAATTTCAGTCACAAAAATCGTGATTATTATTTTTGCCATAATCGAGCAGCCCTAACATCACGTGTGCGACCAGTGTTTACACTAGCCGGCATCATGGAAGCCTTCAGAGCTGCGCTCTGTCACTACCCGATCCATCAATTGTCCAAGCGCTTTCTGCTTGTTTGTTTTTGCAAGCGGAATTACTGCTCCTTGCGGAAGACCACAGACGAAAGACGAGGTTAAGAACGGGGGAAGTACTGCCGCCTACAGGTCTGGCATGTCCTTAACAACGTATTTATGCGGGTACGTGTGGACAGTTTGTTTTTAAAACGCGGTGGTGTGGATGCAAGTTTTTGGAGGGGCGGATATTCGTTTTTAAAAAACCCCGGCTACGTGTGGACTAGGCCTAAGTGTTAAGGGGACCAGGAGCTTAAATGTGGCTACCGAGAAACAAATGGCTGTTTTGCAGACCATATTTTCAACAATTATGCTTATTTTGGAAAAAAATCTGAGCATATAAAAAAAAAAACACTAAAATTACACAGCTCTTTATTAAACACAAAACATGTGGCAAATGTTTTTGAGATAATCTTAACATTTTAGCTATGTATAACTTGTTATTTAAACATGCCTTTGTGATCTTAAAGTTGGGGGGAAATGTGATTTTGTTTATCCAAAGAATTTATAAAACTGCAAGTTGAGAAGTCGTGCATTTAATGTGCGAAATGAAAAACAATTAGGCCTTTATAACACTGACCAACATTTTCCATGAGGCCACAGCTCATTTCCTGCCAGAAAGTGTCTTTAGAAAATTCCAGCTAGCCCTCAAATATCATTTTACAGTTTGAATCAAGTTCAAGCACGTTTCAATAACACAACATTAGAAGTCTTTTTTTTAATACATTATATCGATTTTTAAAGAACTGGTAAACAAAAGGTTTTCTCTTGAGCAGTGTAACTGTTTTTTGATGTTGGTTCTTGCGTCCACGTTGTAGCACATGGTGTGGTTAATTATTTGCATATGTTCCTGTTATGCTCTGTTATATTTATAGTATTCTCACTGCCGTCTTGATCAGGTATCTCTTGGAAAAATGAAATTTATATCCCAATGAGAATTTTATATATTTAAATAAATATAAATGAATAGTGTAAGGTTACATTGTTTATAAAGTGTGAGCACCTGTGTGTATTTTGTTACTGGTGGAGGTCTGGTTGAGCAGTCACTTGTTTGTTTTAATGTTTGTGTTCTAACCATCGACATACTAACTGGGCAGTTACTAAGGTTAAAGTCCGAAAATAATCAAGATTGATTGGTTAGCTACAAGGAAGAAGTGGTGTATTAAATTAGCTACAAGGAAGAAGTGGTGTATTAAATTAGCTACAAGGAAGAAGTGGTGTATTAAAATTAAAACTGGATGAAAATAGCATAACCTACTAGGGTTACAGGAAAGTGCTCCAAGAAACGCATTACTTCAGGCTAGGTTTTACTGCAACAATGCAGTATTAGAGGCTATGCTTCACTTACATCTTTTTTTTAACTACAGTTAAGTAGGTTTTTTTTTTTAGATCTAAGCCCTGTTAGGTTTAGTATCGCCTGTTTTTGGTCTCTTACTGTGACCGGTATTGACAAATAAAAAAAACTTACCACTGAATCCATATTGTCCTTAAATGGTATGTTAATGGTGGAAATGGTTAACGGAACTATGATAAGTAACGAAAACAAATAACCAAAGTAATGGTTAGGTACTACATCAAACTGCTCGCGGTGACACCACTTGGTTGTCACCATCGCTGTCCTGCGGTGTGTGGCAGTACAGAAAAATACTTATCAATGAGTAAACTAATTACTCAAAGTGGTGACATAGCTGGCTCACGTTTGCAAACAAATTTCAAACAACCAAACGGTCGCTAGCTAAGTTTATGGCTAAGTTATGACTCAGTAATACGTCACATACAAACTGTGGTTCCGTGGGTTTAGCTCAACAGATATAAATATCCCCAGCTATCGGTCCATCACTCACCTTCACATAGAGTCGCTTTAAGTCAAATCCAGGGCTTCTCTGAGCATGCTATGGACTTATAAATCCATACCACACACAGTTCGCCTGCACTGCTGCCATCTTGTCCTAGACGACAGGAAGGGAGAGCTCGCGCTCGTTAACGCCACCATCTCCCACATTTCAAACATGGAATAACTCTTCCATTTGGACGTCCAAGAGCAACACACCGAGCATGTTTTGTAGCTGTAATGTTCAAATTCTCGTCCTTTCTCTTTGGGCGCCGCTGCCCATCTCGGAAAGGGTGCAGGTTTCCGCTGTCTAGACGTGTGGCTCCGCGGCCCTGCCAGCCTCTTGCATGTCCCTTTTTTCAAGCAGTAACTGGAAGCAAATGTTTGTGAACTGACGGCATCGCTCAGACCTTAGTAATCAACCAAAGAGCACGAACACATGATTCACATGGGATTATTTCTTTTTTAAATGGCATCAGTCTGTGAACTACTGCTTAATAACTGATTAAATAATAAACACTATTTAAAATGGATCCGATTTTCCAAAAGAGTGTGCAATATATTTATGCAAATGTAGATAAAATTATCATTTTAGTAAACACATTTTTCCAATGTGCCTGTTATGTTACAAATATTGTAATAAAATCACCCTCGTAAATATTTTGCACTTGACAAAGTGCTTTGAAGTTTGAAATAATGCTTGCAGACTTAACACCGTGCTGTATTTAGCCTTCTTTTACAGCCCAATCACTGTTTTCATTGTCAGACTGATTTGAAAGTAATCATGTTTGTAATGAATGTTGTATGTGTAAAAAACTATTTCTGCTATTTAAGTTAAGATAGAGAAAACTCAGGTTCAAAAACTTCAAAAAGTCTAGAAAAGAAGTTCAATCACCTCAAAATTAAATAAACCACATATTAACACTTCTTAGTTTGTTGCTGGATCACAGTCATTATATGGTTTAAAACAGGATGTGATATTCGGGAAAATAACACTTTGCCTTACAGACATATGTCTAATCCAAAATTATTATTATTATTATTATTATTATTATTATTATTATTATTATTATTATTATTATTATTATTATTATTATAACCCAAGTCCTTGAGAGGGGTTGGACACTCTCCTTTGCTGGAGTTGCTCCGGGTGAGAGGCGGAGGGCTGGGGTTGGCTTTTTGTTAGCCCCAAGACTCTCTGCCTGTGTGTTGGGGTTTACCCCGGGGGACGAGAGGGTAGCTTCTCTGCGCCTTCGGGTCGGGGAACGGGTCCTGACTGTTGTTTGTGCTTATGGGCCAAATATCAGTTCAGAGTACCCACCCTTTTGGAGTCCATGGGACAAGTGCTAGATAGTGCTCCATCAGGGGACTCCATTGTCCTGCTGGGGGACTTCAATGCTCACGTGGGCAATGGCAGCTTGACCTGGAGGGGTGTGATTGGGAGGAATGGCCTGCCTGATCTGAACTCGAGTGATTTTTCGTTATTGGACTTCTGTGCAAGCCGCAGTTTGGCCATAACGAACACCCTGTTCGAACATAAGGATGCCCATCGGTACACTTGGTACCAGGGCAGCCAAGGTCGCAGGTTGATGATAGACTTTGTAGTCGTATCATCTGACCTGCTGTCGTATGTTTTGGACACCAGGGTGAAGAGAGGAGCGGAGCTGTCAACTGATCACCACCTGGTGGTGAGTTGGATCAGATGGCAGGGGAAGATGGACTGTCCAATCTCGGGGGCAGAAGATGCTGAGGTAGTCAAACAACTACACAGCGGTGGAGCCCCGAGGGTGGATGAGATTTGTCCTGGGTATCTCAAGGCTATGGATGTTGTAGGGCTGTCATGGTTGACACGTCTCTGCAACATTGCGTGGTCATCGGGGGCAGTTCCTGTGGAGTGGCAGACCGGGGTGGTGGTCCCCATCTTTAAGAAGGGTGACCTGAGGGTGTGTTCCAACTATACGGGGATCACACTCCTCAGCCTCCCTGGAAAGGTCTACTCCAAGGTGCTGGAGAGGAGGGTCCGATCGATAGTTGAATCTCAGATTGAGGAGGAACAATGTGGTTCTCGTCCTAGCCGTGGAACTGTGGGCCAGCTCTATACCCTTAGGGTGATGGAGGGGGCATGGGAGTTTGCCCAACCAATACACATGTGTTTTGTGGATTTGGAGAAGGCTTATGACCGTGTCCCCAGGGGCACCCTGTGGGGGACGCTCCAGGAGTATGGGGTGGGTGGCTTTCTGTTAAGGGCCATTCAGTCCCTTTACCAGAGGAGCGTGAGTTTGGTCCGCATAGCCGGTAGTAAGTCAGACCTGTCCCCAGTGAGGGTTGGACTCCGCCAGGGCTGCCCTTCGTCACCGGTTCTGTTCATCACTTTTATGGACAGAATTTCTAGGCGCAGCCGTGGTGTGGAGTGTGTCGAGTTTGGTGGCAGGACAATCTCGTCTCTGCTTTTTGCGGATGATGTGGTCCTCCTAGCTTCATCTGGCTCTGACCTTCAGCTCTTGCTGGGTAAGTTCGCAGCCGAGTGTGAAGCGGCTGGGATGAGGATCAGCACCTCCAAATCTGAGACCATGGTTCTCGACCGGAAAAGGATGGCTTGCCAACTCCGGATCGGGAGAGAGGTCCTACCTCAAGTGGAGGAGTTTAAGTATCTTGGGGTCTTGTTCACGAGTGAGGGTAGGAGGGATCGGGAGATCGACAGGCGGATTGGTTCGGCGTCTGCAGTGATGCGGACGCTGAGCCGATCTGTTGTGGTGAAGAGGGAGTTGAGCCAGAAAGCCAGGCTCTCGATTTACCGGTCGATCTACTTCCCAATCCTCACCTATGGTCAAGAGTTTTGGGTAATGACCGAAAGAACGAGATCACGGATACAAGCGGCCAAAATGAGTTTCCTCCGTAGGGTGGCCGGGCTCAGCGTCAGAGATCGGGTGAGGAGCTCGGACATTCGGGAGGGACTCGAAGTAGAACCGCTGCTCCTCCGGATCGAAAGGAGTCAGTTGAGGTGGTTTGGGCATCTGGTCAGGATGCCTCCTGGACGCCTCCCCGGGGAGGTGTTTCGGGCATGTCATGCCAGCAGGAGGCCCCCGGGTCGACCCAGGACACGTTGGAGAGGTTACATCTCCAATCTGGTCCGGGAACGCCTTGGGGTCCTGCCGGAGGAGCTGGTGGAGGTGGCCGGGGAGAGGACGGTCTGGAGCTCCCTAGTTGGGATGCTGCCCCCGCGACCCGGACCCGGATAAGCGGAGGAAGATGACGACGATAATAATATTATGCTCAGACATGTGCAAAAACATGAATGCAGATTATTAAGTAAAAGCAGCTGAAACATGTTAAATCACAGCTGATAGAAACAGCTAAAAAAATGATTTTCATAAACCCATGTGGTCTGAGAGACCAGCTGTAATTGAATTTACCAAAGAACATTTATCTTCGTTGATCTTCATCTGTCCCCACCTTTAAAAACAAACCACCAGGTCTGTTCAGCTGGAAGGGAGGTGTGAACACCTCTTGTCCAACCTGATTTATCATGAGTAAACACAGCTGGCAAGGAGACAGAGAACTATATGGGCCCATTAGGATCATTTAGCTTCTCATAAAATCCTAACACTGAAATGGAAAATAAGGAATGCTCACCACTGTGGTGTTTAAATTAAATTTGTTGTAATTGGATTGTGTTTTTCATTCAAGCCTAACATATACTTTCATCCAAGATTAAGTCAGCTAAGACTAAATCACAAATATTACTATGTAACATATTGCTCATGCTTGGTTAAACTAAACGGATATGATAAACCATTGCTAAGTTTTCTTAAATATACATTAGAGAGTTGTGTTTACAATTTTGTTTTGAAGAAAATAAATACTTGTTTACGTCATGTACATGCTTGTTCTGGGATCTTCTATTTTAGTCTATTCTGATGGTTGGGCATGTAAATCGTTATTATTTGTCTCCCTCTATTGGCGAAAAAAACTCATATTCTGACTCACGTTATTTAATGCAACTTCTCTGTTTCAGATATTTTAGGTCATTTTAGTCATTTTGAGTTACTTTCTGGAGTATTTTAATTCATTGGTGTTACTAAGCTACTTGTCTTACGTAAAAAAATTAAAAGAAAAAGAAAATAATTGCATAGGCTGGTGTGTGTGTGTGTGTGTGTGTGTGTGTGTGTGTGTGTGTGTGTGTGTGTGTGTGTGTGTGTGTGTCATTGCTCGTGATAGGTCATCGTGTTCAGTTTATGGGACATAGCACGTTTTAAGGAATTTCCATGAAACATGTTTATTTTATACTTGTTTATTCGAATAGACCTTTATTTTTAAAGAATCCTGTCAGGACGGAAGTCTTCTGCAGTCGCAACGGAAGTGTCCTCCTCCATCGCCATTTTAGACCGTAGCCAGTCGAGCCTTTGAGCTATTTGTTCATTGCTCAAAAGCAATGTGATCGGTCTCTGTAAAACTATGCCAGCTACTTAGTGTTTTTATGAAGATTTTCCTTCCCGCTATTAATTGGTTGACAGCTTAGATAATAAATAATTATTTACGTAGATATTCTTCCAGCCATGTCGACGGACGCAACAGCCGACCAGGTAGCGACATGCAGTTCTACTTATGGCTACTGCTTTGTGTCTTGATTTAGTTCACGTTATGTATCCGAATCAGCTGCTGGTTTAAATGGTTTATTTAGGCTAATTTCACGTCAGTAACCGCCTGTTGTATTCTGTTTACGGTGTTACGTTTATACGTATTTTCTGTAGTTTTTTTTTCTTCGTTCGCCATGTTTGAATCAGCCGAAGCATTGTCGCATTTAAACCTAGACTTAACTGTCGAGATATCCTTAGATCACTCGAACATTATCGTGTGGATAACGCTAGTTAAAATCTTAGCTTGTATGCTGATTTATCTAGCTTCAGCTAGATGAATCTAGCTAGCTAGTGGTAAAAAAAATCTTTTAGGTGGGTTTTTTTCCGCGCCTGTAGCTATCGCGAGATTTGTGGTAGGCGCGTTACGTTTTGATGTTTTCTGGTGTTTGTTTTGGCCTCCCCTGAAATGTTGCTTTTTGTACTGTTTCATCATACTGGTATCAGAAATGTATACTCGCCATTAACCATACTTTCCGTGTTTCTGTGTTGATTTTGCAGGGAGCAGCAGAATATATTCCCGAGAAGGTGAAGAAGGCAGAGAAGAAGTTGGAAGAAAACCCATATGACCTTGACGCATGGAGCATTCTGATTCGAGAAGCACAGGTTTAGTGACACAGAGTTGTATTCCTGGGGTTAAGGAAAACTGGGAATGAGGGTGGGTGGGTTTGGGGTTAAAATTTGACTCGATTCAAAGTTTTAGACTTGTTATTTCTTTTCCTTCCACCTCATGATTGACACTACTGACATTTTTTATGTGAAGTAGTGTGGAATGTAAATGCATTCTCCTCCTTTAGAATCAACCCATAGATAAAGCAAGGAAGACCTATGAGCGACTTGTCTCACAGTTCCCAAGTTCGGGCAGGTTCTGGAAACTGTTCATTGAAGCAGAGGTTAAGAAACTTTTTTTCTTTCAGTATGCATGACAGACTTATTCTAACATGATCAACAATGTGATTTTCACACAACCAAAATGTGTCTTTACATAAATGAAGTTTAAAGTCACAGTTCATCTTCACTGCAAACCCATTAGTGACAAACTGAAACTTTTCGAGAATTTGGGCTAATCGTAGACAAAGAGTGACAAATCACCTTGCAGTGAGGCTGTTGCCGAGATGATTAACTAACTGTGCCTTTAAACACTTAAAGGGGAGATCCACTATAACCATTACAATAATCCTTATGTTTCCAGGTTGAAAGAAATATATCTTTCTGCGCCATATTTAAATGGGGTAAAATGCATTTGTTGCATGTTTGGTCTGCAACAGTATTAAAAACACTTTTAATGGTATTGGAGTGCATTAGCCTTTTATTCACTTGTCGTGTCAATTTATTGCCTCCTGTGTCATTTCTTTTGGGTAACTTTATAAAGGAAGATGCCGACTGTGTCGCCCGCTTTAATTTTTTTTTTTTTTTTTTTTTTGAGTCTTTTCTCCCCCTTCCTACCAAACACATGACTCATGATTGTCTTGCTGCCAAGAACAAGCTTTGCTCTCATGCACCCAGCTATTGACTGGATGGTTTGGTTTTCTCACACCTGACTCTTGTTTTTTCTGACTACGTTTCACTTTTAGTTTCTTACATTTTTATAGAGCCTGCAGGTTATTTGCCAGAAGCTAGGAGAGAAGATCCAAGTGTTCAGGTTTAGCGAGTTACATGCTTTTGTAACACTTTTCTGTAAAGTTATTCTATTTCTACAAAGAGTTCATTGTAGTTTTATAAAGTGGGTGTTGTCTCCTAGGCCTTTCAGTCCACCTAAGCAACTTTGAGGGTAATCCACATACACGTGCACGTCTGCAATTTCCGAGATAAACTAGGTAATGTTCATTAGTTCATGATAATAAAACGATATGATCTCATGAGCCTACTCCATCTAAGAATGTGAAAAGTGGCCTTTATAAGATATAAATGAACTCATTAGATTAGAGTAGATTTTCAGTCACACTGGAAACACCCAGAGTGTATATTTGTTGAGGCAACTCAACTTTGCACTTTTCAATTTAAAGTGGTAATAAGTAAACCAAAGAATATGTAGTAAGCCAAGGCAGCATTATTTATACAGCACATTACACACACCGGCAACTTGATGTATGCGTCAGGTGCATAAGAAACTACATTTTAAAATCAAAACTAAAAGTAGCAAGCTAGTGTCAGTTTTGTTTTATTCTGTAGCTGATGAGGGAAAAGTGAAATTGCAACCATTAACCAGTGCTTTGTTTGTTTTATGCTTAGTGGTCCTGAGCTTTTAAGTCCGTAACATTAATGGGAGATGCATTTTAAACTTCTAGTTGAATATTTTAACTCCTGGTTATCCATCTTTCCCAAATAACCGCAAGTCCTTTTCAAATTCCCAAATGTGAGCCACATCAGTTTCACTTTTATCATTGTAGCATGTAGTTGATTTGACCCAACATGGAGGTATTTGTGTTATTCTACCTACGATTTCAATGCAACGCACACGTTGCGAACATTTTATTAATCAGTAATGTAATCGTACCAGTGTACCTCTTACTGGTAAGTATGATCATAAATGCTCATCTCTTCTGAGAATGAGAGAAATGTTGCACGATCACTGTGAGCTACACATGTAGGTTTTCATCTCCATGTTTAAAGTCAACTGAGTTACGTCCAAGCCCCTATACCAGGGGTATTCAGTTCCGGTCCTGGAGGGCCGGTAAACATATTTTAGTGCTTTCTCTGCTCCAACACACTAGATTCAGTGGTTGAATCGCCTGTGCTGCACCTCATCGGGCTCTGCAGAAGCCTGTTAATTACCTGCTGATTGAAATGAGGTGTGTTGAAGCAGCGCTTAAGGTAAAACATGCTGGATACCGGCCCTCCAGGCCCAGAATTGAATACCCCTGCCCTATACCCATGTCTGTTTGGGGATGTCAGACTAACAACACAGGGAGTTTTCCACCTACTTCATTGTCAAATCGAAACAGTTCAGATTAAACACGAGTCTCTGAAGATGCCACCACTTGTTGGCAGATGCAGGCTGGAGACTTGCACATTAGGACAACACTCCCATGTTTTACAGGATTTGTTTCCAGCCAGAAATTTACAAAATACTATATTCAAAGCATTTTCTATGAATTGTGTAACACTCCCTGTTTTACTTTAAAGTAGGGATTAATGCTCTTGTTTTAGTTTTGTGCATTCAATCATTTCATGTGACGGGACTTTTGCCATCATCACCAAACCACAATAGTTTATTTGATGTAAAGAACAATACCAAAATTAAGATTATTCAGATATTCTTTATAAGTTTCATTTTTGAACAAGTAAATGATTTTCCTCCCCAATAAAAATAGGACAGTTGTAGTTGTTTGTCCCTTATTAGCAGTTTCACAACAGAAGCTTTGTATGTTATTAGAGTACAGAGTCCCACTGATGCATTATGGGAAGTGGTTTTGTAGGACAACACTTGTTTTAAGTGTATTTTGTATGATTCTGTACACTTACTTCCCGTTTCCTCACATCAGTTTACACACTTTCCTTCAATGTTACAGTAACTGAGGAGATTCCTGATCCTCCACCCTACTGGTTGAAAGTTGAATTACAACCATTGTAATTAACCCTGCTGTAGCTAGTGCTAACAAGCTAACACAAATATGAGCCAACTAATTTTAAAATGAACCACTAAGTAAAAATATTACGCATAAGTCTGGTAGCAACAAAGCCAGGTCACTATCAGTCTGTGACTTTGTAGCTTCATTTTGCTCCCTCGAACTACCGTAGGCCGTGCCAATGTTCACTCTGATTTTAGCTCATCGCTTCACCTCCAAAGACATTACTCTCTTACTTTTACTTCCAGGCTCCACCATGATGCCAACGGAAAAAGCAGTCTTCCTTTTTCTTTTTGTGCTTTTTATTGACGATTAGCAAACTAAAAAAGCTAACTGCTAGCATAACAGCTGTAAAGCAGATAAAGAGCTCCCCCTAAAGAGCACCTACCCGCTCCACAAAATTAAGTTCTGTATCTGGCCAGCAGAGGGCTGCAGGCTGATGTCAAATAAAACTGGTTCTAACTCAACAATCACTGAGATCTATGTTAAAGCGCTATCTTTGAGTTTTAAAATATGTTGTGTTACGTTAAGAGTAAATGGATAAAAGACTGAGTGCATTTAGTTCCTTTTACAAATCAAACTTGAGTAATTTCTGTCTTTCAAGTTGTTCTTTTTTTTAATCTTTTCCTGAACTCTTATGTCTTAGTTGTATTCATATTGTTGGCCTGATTAGAAATAACATTTCCTAAATTGAGAGACTTGCATATAAATCTCAAGATTTTAAAGACTTGGATGTTTTAAAATGTGAATTGTGACATGTTCAAATAGGTGGAGTGTTAAAAGAAACTGGGAAGTTGGATGTTTACAAGGTGCAAACTGGCAAAGAGACTCCAGCAAAATCTTACAAAAATTGCTAATCTTAACTCCCCCTCCCCTGTTCCAGTTCTGAGGGGTGGTATAGCTCACACCCCCTAAGTGTAGTGTTAATCCTGTGTGTGCTGGAAAAGGCTGTAAAACGAGCCGTGATTACCAAAATACCATGCCCATCAGGAGCTGTTTAAGGATTTAAAAAAAAAATAATCCCAACACAGCTTTGCAGAATTTTAACATTTTTAGTTTGTTTTTGGGTTGTGTGGCGCAAATGCAAAAAATAATAATAAAACCCCTTTCTCTCAGTAATTTGTCATTCTTGTGTGAATTTCACTTTGTTGATCCTCAAATATTTGAGTATGAATGTGTTTGGGTGATTAAATGTGCATGAATACATGGGAGCAATAAATTTGTAGGAAGCATTTGAGCTGATGTTCCATTTACACTCTTATTTGCAGATCAAGGCTAAAAACTATGACAAAGTAGAAAAGGTAAGTGTCATCATCAAAAGATTCCAATGTACATCCGTATTTGTTGACAAGAATGATGTGTCTGAGTGAAGTTTATCCCCGTTTAATCACTTTTGGTACTGTTTCTACTGTAAATCTAATATTCTATTGATGGTGTATAAATCCTGCAAATCTTTTTCTTCCTCTTTTTTCAGTTTCTTTAAATAAAACATTGAATGTCAAACTTATTTTAGATTCTGCTTTTGTGTTGGTTCAGCTCATAAACTATTAGCTTTTAGCTTCCACAAATCAAAGCTGCACCTGATTCAAATAAGTTGAAAGGGTCCTGTGCTGACACCAACCAGCCAACAGATGGGAGATGGAAATTAGTTCTGGCTATAATCTGGATGATTTAAATTTGTATTAATACACAAATCTAGTCCCATTCCTGACTCAACTGTACCACATAAAAGCTGTTATCCTAAAATTAGGCAGAGACGTGTAGGTAAAAATAAGGGTCCAGGGCAGGCTGGTGCCCCCCTGACCACAAGCTTGGACCACCCCCAGCCCCCGCACTGATAACTAGAGATAACTCATTTTTATTTTTTCTACCAGGTGTGATGATTTATATATATGTGTGTGTGTGTGTGTGTGTATATACACATTTTAAACACATTGAAACAATAGTTTGAGCTCATGATAGGATACACATAAATTAGCTTTAGCTTCAACCTATTCCACTTCTGAGTACAAAAGTTTTCTATTTTATTTAATTAAAAATGTGTTGGTATATTTTATTTATTATCTGCAAGTGTAATATTCTTTAATTCATAGTCGCTGCAGTATTTCTGCATGTAAGCTTAATGTTTTTATGATCTATCCTAACCTCTTGTTCTCCCCATTAGTTGTTCCAGAGGTGCCTGATGAAGGTCTTACACATCGACCTGTGGAAATGCTACCTCTCGTATGTCCGAGAGACCAAAGGGAAACTTCCCAGCTACAAGTAAGAAGCTGCAGCAGTGTGGTGTGAGGTTTATAGATGCAGATACATTTTACATCTAATTCTCTTCTGCTCAGAGAGAAGATGGCCCAGGCGTATGACTTTGCTCTCGATAAGATTGGCATGGAAATTATGTCCTACCAGGTACAGATCAGAATTTGTACCTATGTGATGTTAAATCATATCTTCCAACCTGCAATTCTCTGTTTTTTCTTCTCAGATTTGGGTGGACTACATTAATTTCCTTAAAGGAGTGTAAGTGTTTTCCACAGTTTTTATATCATTAAAGTTAGTGTGCTCAACTCTTGAATTCCATGCATGATTTATTTATTTGTGTGTGTGTGTGTGTGTTTACCTAGTGAGGCCGTGGGCTCATACGCAGAGAATCAGCGCATCACTGCAGTACGGAGAGTGTACCAAAGAGGCTGTGTGAACCCCATGATCAACATTGAACAGCTCTGGAGAGATTATAGCAAATATGAGGAGGCAAGTGACCCAAATACCGCCCTCTTGTTGTTTTGCCTATAGCACCTTTAGCTTGCTCATTATTCCTGCACAGTATTTCTTGGTGAAACACATGGGAACTCAAACACCAAGCTCTGTTTTGAGAACACGTGCAGTTTCAGTGTAAACATGCAAGCATGAAAAACAACGATGGTTCGCATGAGACGCCCTGAAGAGGAGGCCACTGTCTTCCAAACCAAACGCACTGGTCAGCTCAACAGCTGATCTTTCTCAGAAAACTAGAGGAAACCACAAAAAACCAAAAGTATAATGAAGCACGGTGGTGGCAGTACCACGGTTTTGTTCATGCTGCTGCTTCTGTATCTGCTGGATTCACAAACTTTGATTTTCAGGTGTTTAAAAAACTGACGGATCCCCGGTCTGATCTGCCTACATTTATCCACAGGGGATCAATGTGCATTTGGCTAAAAAGATGATTGAAGATCGGAGCAGAGATTACATGAATGCAAGGAGAGTGGCAAAGGTGAGACGTCCATCAAAGATCTGTACAGGTTACTCATCCTAAAAACTCATACAGGTCTGTTTCCCAACATTCAGGAGTATGAGACGGTGATGAAAGGACTAGACAGGAACGCACCTTCAGTACCGCCACAGAACTCTCCTCAGGAGGCCCAGCAGGTGGAAATGTGGAAGAAGTACATCCAGTGGGAGAAAAGCAACCCACTACGCACAGAAGACCAGACCCTCATCACAAAAAGAGGTAACCAGTTTGAGTTGAACCTTGTTGTTGAAGCTCTTTTTTTAGGTAATGGATGTACACATATGGATATTTAACTCATTTTTAAATTCAACCACCAGGGGGCAGCATTTTACATTTTCTCCTTTTTCAATCTAACCCAGGCTTCTACTTACATTCATTGGAATTTAATTGTATTTATTTGTTGTGTGTTGCAGTGATGTTTGCCTATGAGCAGTGCCTGCTGGTGCTGGGCCACCATCCTGACATCTGGTATGAGGCAGCCCAGTACCTGGAGCAGTCCAGCAAACTGCTGGCAGAGAAAGGAGTAAGAAGATCAAATATCAATCAAATGGCCTTCGATCAAAGACGTTTCCAGATTATTATTTAACTTTTCCTTCCAACAGGACATGAATAATTCTAAACTGTTCAGCGACGAAGCAGCTAACATCTACGAGCGTGCCATTGGGACTCTTCTGAAAAAGAACATGCTTCTCTATTTTGCGTTTGCCGACTATGAAGAAGTAAGTGTGTGATTTAATGTTCGGCGTAAACAAGTCGAGAGGAAAAGCAGCACTAGAGCGTCTCAGCTCATTTCCTCTCGGTGCCTCCACAGAGCCGCATGAAGTACGAGAAAGTGCACGGCATCTACAACAAACTGCTGGCCGTGGAGGACATCGACCCCACGCTGGTCTACATCCAGTACATGAAATTCACCAGGAGGGCAGAGGGCATCAAATCGGGCCGGACCATCTTCAAGAAGGCGCGAGAGGATCCCCGCACGCGTCACCACGTGTACGTGACTGCAGCACTGATGGAATACTACTGCAGCAAAGTAAGACCACGACACACGGCCTCCTCCAAACAACTCTTTCTACCTGGTTTCTAATTCCCTTCCTTTCTTCTGCAGGACAAATCTGTGGCCTTTAAGATTTTTGAGCTTGGTTTGAAGAAGTACGGTGACATTCCAGAGTACATACTCGCTTACATCGATTATCTCTCACACCTTAACGGTAGGGGAGAATCCTCTAGAACATCTCTTTATTGCTGACTCTTAAAGCATGAAGTCTGTCCCTAAAAGTGCCCTTTTTTCTTCTCAGAGGATAACAACACACGGGTTTTGTTTGAGCGTGTTCTAACCTCAGGAAGCTTATCACCAGAAAAGTCTGGGTATGGCCACGCTTCTGTTGAGCTGTGTGTGTTTTTGCCAAAGCGTCACGTTAACATCCACAAACCTCTGGTTCCTCAGAGAGATCTGGGCTCGGTTCCTGGCGTTTGAGAGCAACATAGGAGACCTGGCCAGTATTCTCAAAGTAGAGCGCCGGCGCTTCACTGCCTTCAGAGACGAATACGAGGGCAAAGAAACGGCCCTGCTTGTGGACCGGTACAAGTTCATGGACCTGTATCCCTGCTCCACCAGCGAACTCAAAGCCCTTGGCTACAAGGTGTGCAGACTGCTCATGTTGTTTACAGCCATGGGGTTCGATCCAGCGTAATTTTGTGTTGACATGAACTGATCATTGTCCTCAGGATGTGTCTCGTGCCAAACTGGCAGCACTGCTTCCAGAAACCGTGGTAGCACCCTCTTTGCCTACACTAAAGGATGAAATCGATCAGAAACCCAAGTACCCCAAACCAGACACCAATCAGATGATCCCCTTCCAGCCACGTCACCTTGCTCGTACGTGATCCCTTCCAGAGCATCACAGATTCACCTATTTCCAAACAGACCCGACGCATTAATGGATTTCTCTTTGATGTTTTTTCTCTGCAGCTCCAGGCCTACACCCTGTCCCTGGTGGAGTTTTCCCAGTCCCCCCAGCAGCTGTTGTTCTAATGAAGCTGCTTCCACCACCCATGTGCTTCACTGTGAGTCGCAGGCTGCAGCTGAGTGCTGATAATCTATATTTGGTGTTGTGTTTGCTTCACAGCCAGACAGGACACGGGAAAGATATATATATATATATATATATATATATATATATATATATATATGGTGTTAAAAGGATTTTTGTTGTAAAATGTCTTAGAAAGCTTTTTTTTGTGACTGTAGGGCCCTTTTGTTCAAGTGGATGAGCTGATGGAAACTTTGAGGAGATGCACACTTCCTGAGAGTGAGCCACTTTTTTGTTGCTGTACAACGAAAATTGTCTTTTTTAACAGAAATGGTAAATGTCCTCCTGAACTTTGCTTTAGCTGTTGAGGCTGCTGTAGAGCTGATCACCGGCAGACTGCCCGATGCCAGTGGGGAAGGAAACGGAGCCATGGAGAACCACGCTATCGCCAAGGCACTGAAGAGGCCTAATGCTGACTCTGACGAGGAGGACGACAAAGGAGCTGTGGCTCCGCCCATACACGACATCTACCGTGCACGCCAACAGAAAAGGATTCGATGAACTCAAACATCAAAGTAAACCCTTCGAGAATGTACTCGTCTTATGGTGGTTAAAGATCAGTTAGTCATGTCTGCTCTACCAGTCTGCAGATATCCTGATGAGTGCACACACACACACACACACACACACACAGAACCATTCAAAGTGTGTGTGTGCACCCAAGTGTTCCTGTGACTTTTGTTTTGTCAGCAGTTTTTATTTTTGAAGACTGAACAGTTTACTGTACATTTTTAACTCGATTGTGGATTTCTGTATCCAGCTCACCGTTGATCTTATGTTTCAGCCACAAAGTGCAAGAAATTTGTTTTGTTTTAGATAACTGGAGGAAACACAGTTTCTGTGAATGAAAGTGGATAAAAGCAACCATTGTGTGTGTGTTTTTTTATTATTTATCACTGGTAATATGGCTTCAAAATCTCAAGTGAATGTTTTTAGTAAATGAGTTGCAGACTTTAAAATCACCAGCAGGGCGCGCCCTTTAGCTATGTTGTGCCATCTTTATTTTCCCCACTAGAAAATAACTAAATAGAAAGTAAAGTACTTCTGACAATAATATATACACTGAAACATGCAGGTTTTTCAGATCAGCATTGAAAATCTGAACGTTACTGAAGTATAAAGACGAATGCTAAACTATGTGTTCAAGCATCAGAAAGGTTTCTTGCTTTAATATGTTTATTTTTTATTTCACAGAAATAAGTTTAATTCATTTCAAACTTTTTAAAAAAGTTTACAGTTATGCTACTTCATTTTTTAAATAAATAAATTGTTGAAGCCAACTACGCTCGTGACATACCAGATGCCATGTGTTTTCTGAGTACACACGTGAAAGTTCCAGTCGAACTTCACAGATGAAAATACAAACAAGATGTTCGTCGTTTTAAAACCTGGAGAAAACATGGAAGTCATTTCCTCTGCGGGTTGGGAGGATTACAAGCTCATTTAAAACAGAACATTGAACGTGCCACTAAAACATGACTAAACTTTTTAGCTTAAATTAAAAACTCCAAACATCTGCTTTGGTGCAACATGGCTGATGAAAGACTCAGTATTCCAGGCGTTCACATTTCCAGCTTCAATCTTCCACTTACTGCTACAACGTGCATCACAGTGAGCATGACAAGTCTACATGAAACACACTAATTTCCTCCAAAACACATCCACTAATAACCAAAAGAAGACCAAATGAAAAATTCTCTCTGTTTTCCTTCCCTTTTTGAGGAAATAAACTCAAGAATACATTTCTTTAAATTTTGTTTTAGTGTCCTGCACCAAAGCTTAAATTACAAAGCTTAATAAAAAAAATTGCATTCTTTTCTCAGTAGTAGCTACATTTGTTCTTATCTTTTTTTTTTTTTTTTTTTTTTTTACATACAGTACATGAGTTTTTTTTAAACTACCGGTAATAAATATTAAAGTAGCAACATGTTGACATTAGATAATTTATTTCCGAAGTACTTAACAAAAATCTCAGTGTGAGTTTTGGATATCTGTCCCAGCAGCTGTTTCTTGTCTTTTGCAGAAAATTTGGGGCTCTCTTGCACCATCTGAATCAGGGAAATAATCTCTTCTTTGGTGGTTTTCTGTGAACTTTCTGAATACGCCAAAGCTCCAACTCTCAAGTTGTATGTTATACCTGGAGGAAATAGAAAGACGGAAATGAAACTTGACCAAAAAATTAGGAAAACTCTGTACATAGTGAGAGATTTTCAAATAAACAGCTGCATACCTGTTACCACATCTGGATTTGTCCCATTCACAATATTTCTTATTCGCTCACTGACCGTCTTGTGCAGCGAGAGAGGAATCTGACAAAAAGAAAAAACTGAAGTAAGTTTGACATTTCATCACTGTTACCTGTTATGAATAGCTTCCCGAATAGCCTTTGTTTGGATAAATAGAGCTTGCATCTAGCAGGACTGATACGCTAACTGCTAGTCTGTGCGCTGATTGCTGCTGTTAAAAAATGACTTGACCTGGACTTGACCCCAGATGCACTGAAATTGCTACATTTCGCTCACAATGTTTATGCTTGCCATTGACCACCGTATGCTAAAAAGGTTTATAAAATTATTCATGAGTCACTATGCTGTTTTGCAGATCAGAGACGATTTAAAGGTGTGGTACACTTGTTTAATCAATACATTTGCAATGGTCTAGGAATGAATACCTTGTAAGTCGTACTCAAGGAGGAAAAAAAGCTCTGATGCACTTGTTTCAGGAACTAGCAGAATGCCACATAAGAGAAGAGCTTGAGACAGCAGGATTTGGAGTCTTATTTCCTGATATTTGGACATCTCACCTCTGATTGGATAACAGCAACGTGACTCTATCGCTGACTTTGTTTGCTCTGCAACGTTGATGTTTCATCTCTAAACAAACACAAGCCTGAAGATGTACTGCTGTATTAAAGATTAATGTCCCATAGTTGTCACACACACTGGTGTGGTGAAAATTGTCCTCTGCATTTGACCCATCCCCGTGGGGAGCGGTGAGCTGCAGACACGGCCATGCTCGGGAACTATTTGGCAGTTTAACCCCCTAATCCAACCCCTTATAACTGAGTGTCAAGAAGACACTATAGGCCACTGAGCTGTTGGCCTAGTGGTAGAGTGGAGTTGCCAATGCTAACCCCAAAATTCCACTACCTCCGCTCCGGCACGAACTCCGCAGCAAAAACAGTCCCGTTGTAGTCAATCAGAGCTGTTCCACTACCGCGGCCATGCGGCGCAGTGCGCCGCCCGCCATTCCGCCATCCGGCAAAAATAGGATCGATTCTATTTTTGCCGGACACCGGAGCAACTCCGCAGTCAATGGACAGAAATCACAACCGCCCAACAGGAAAAGGAGCAAGCACAGCTTCCGTTATTTCACAATAAATCGATAAACAAAAAGTGTTTTTTGTTTCATATGCACAGGTCTAACAACTTTTAACAACTATCAATGGCGGTTGAACTTTAAATGCACAAAAAAAAAGCCATAAATACAGTTTCTTCTATCAAAGTAGTCACACTTTGTTGATCCAAACACTGCTGATCTCTCAACACAAATGATGGGCAGATTAAACAGTTCATTTCGATGCTTCTCCCACACAACGGGTGTTTGGATCTAACTTCCACGTTTATTGCTCGGACTGTATCGCAAGATCTCTAAAATCCCGCGCATGCCTGTTTGCGCACATCAGGTCTCCGCACAGGAGCGGAGCCGTTGTAGGGCGGGTACCAGTAAAAATTGAGTTCGGAAGCGAGCGCCTGCGGAAGGCGGGGGCGGAGCGGAGGTAGTGGAATTTTGGGGTTACAGTTAGCTTCTGCTAGCCAAGACATTCTCTGCTGTTTCCTGGACACTAAAGCAACAACAGCTTTTCCTGTCGTGAGTCAAGATGGCTAAGTCCATGAATGTTAAGTGACGGTGTGATGTTCATCTGGCTTTTCAAATCCTAGTTTTTTTCAATCAGAAGCGAATGCAGGAGATAGGTGTAGGAGACCATTTTCATGTTCAGCCTACATGAAAACCTCAAGACAGATTATAATCAGAAATAATAATTATAAAATGTTTTCAGTGTTCCACGCCTTTAGAGTAACAGCAATCTGCTTTGAACTTGGCTGAGCATAGACTAGCTGTTAGCACCTCAGTCCTATTGTATGTAAAAGCCATTTCTCCAAACCAAGGCCATTTGGGGAGCTATCTGTTATAATTATTGGTGTCCAATATTATTTGTTAAGGTTAGGGTTATTGGTTTTAAAATGTAGAATCCAAAGTTGTCAGTATTAGTCTTTAGTCTTTTAATGACACAACTTTTAAAACATTAATCAAACTCTCCAACTACTTCTCTTCTTATGCAAAATTCTAAAATATGACAGATCAAGGTCTAGTGTTTCAGATTATTTGGTTTGTTCGGTACAACTGGCCTAACTTAAATTGAAGTAGTCATCTTATTTAGCACCACATATGTTTAAAGTCGAGGTATGCATGATAGATGTGTGGCGTTAGTCACCTATCATGATGCATTTTTGTATGGGTGTGGGGACCCCACATATTTTGGTGTATCGGTATCGGAAATTAAAACTCAATATTGAAACGTTTAAAACTTTAAAACAATTTAAAATGGCTAAATGTAGTTTTAATTTAAGAATCAGACATTTGCATTAATAAACGCAGAAATGAAAGTAACCAGATTGCTTGTGTCTTTAGCACATTTGGATTTGCCTCACTTTGAACAGATCACTGTAGTTATCCATCATGAACAGAACCATCAAGCCCGCCTTTCCTTTGGGCAGCCTCCTGTTGTAGATGATGGCGCTGGAGAAAGCCCTTTTCACTGCTATTCTGTTCTCAATCTGAGAAGAAGTTAGAGTGAATGGAGATCAAACAGACAGAAACACAAGATGCACGCGGCTGGTTACCGACCTCTTTGTGCACTTTCATCTCCTGCGGTTTGGCTGCAGTCACCATGAATCTCAGGAGCCTCCTCAGCTCTTCTCTGCTGCGAGAGTCCTGCAGCTTCACGCTCAGCTGCAGCGCCTCTAGAGCACGCTCCATCTTCCCATTCACTAAAAACACACCAAAATGGTACCAAAGAAATTCAATAATGTTAACAGGAAATTTTCCCCTTTTTCAAACAATTTATTGCGGCACACTGAAGCAAAAATTAGACAGGTTTGTTTCTTACCGAGTAGTTCCGAGATGCCGGAGTAGATATCAAAAAAGCAGTTGTTGAGCAGGGGTGGTTTTTGTATTTGTCCGTAATGCTCAACGAGGACCTGATAGAGCAGCTTTTTACACTGGAGCAGGTCGTGGGTGCAGCTAGACAAACCCCGACTGACCTCCACCACCAGGTCATCAGGGAGGAACTCAAGGCAGTCCAACGCCCCCGTCATCCACTCATCAGCCCTGTGGGATCAGGCAAATTAGAGCATTTTATTTGCAAATGTTTGTTTTTGAATTTTCATTTGATGTGAGTAAATGAGACAAACAGTGAACCAGGACAAAGGATGAGAGTGGGCCAGATGGCTGGTGGTTTTGACTGCGTACTTCCCCCCCTTCTAATCTACTTATCTCACTGTGGGTGATTATTTTAAATACAACCAATTTGGAGATGTGGAGACACTCAAATGCCATCAGAGAAGATGGACTGATAAATGAGATTTAGGATCTGTTTCAAACCAAGAGTCAACAGGACATTTTTTCATTTAGGTTCAGATTCTGCAATAAAAAGTAGCCCTGTGCTACAGCAGTTACCAAATATTCTTAAAGCACTGTATTATTATTATTATTAATAATAATAATAATAATAATAATAATAATAATGTTAATATTATTATTATTATTATTATTATTATTATTATTACAACAATAATAATAATAATAATAATGTGATAATTAAAGCAGAAACTAAGAAATGGCCATTTATATATTTCTATATTTATTTGCCACTAATCAAGGCCACCCAAAGCGTCGAACACCGACAATGCACAAAAAATCCTAACTGAACACAAAAAAATAAGAAAATGTAGATTGATAACAAATAATATCTATTAAAATGCATAACTGTGGTTTCAAACAAAATAAACATCATGAAGATTAACAGGCATTCTGCAGCATTTTTTCCACATTTTCCAAAAACTATGTTCATTATTGTAAATGAAAAAATTATTAAATATTATATCTTTTGTTTTTTTTTATTAGAAATTTTAAATAGTTGTGCATTTATTGCATTTTCATTAGTGTTAAGAGCAGTCTTTATAGAGAGATGCACTAAAAATTGGCTGGCAAGATCTGAGCCAATCAGTATTCAGTATAATAGAAAAAAATAAATAGTTGTAGTTGACCTAATAAATTGCTTCAGTTGGTGATAAGTAATTGAATACAATTTATCCAAGTTAATTTAAGGCAGAATTACTCTAATTATTCATTTTATTACAAATAAAAGTTTCAGATACCTTGAACTTAAAGAGCAAGTCACCCCTAAATCAACGTTTTTTTTGCTGATAAACTGTATAAAAGAATGCCTAATAGTGCTGTAAACTGGTGTAGTCATTCTTTTTGGCATTTTAGTACATCTTATTCAAATTATAAAAATTCAGCCTAAAACCCATCATTGAGGTCAAAACTCTACACCTACATATTTTCAGTCTTTTCTAGGGGTACCATCATTTTTATACTGTTCCATGAGTAATTTTTGTTTTTTAATAATTCCATTGAAGCCTGATTGAAAAGCAATGTCTGATTTTCACTGGTTAAATTTCATAGAATTTTTATTTATTACTACTTTTGTCTGATTCAAGTTACTTCTGTCACCATTGTGGGATTGTCTTTCATCGACAGTAGGGTACCAACAATTTTGTCCATGTCTGTAGTTGGATAAATCAAATATTTGTATCAGTCCTGAAACCAGAACCAAAGCATCTCTAATTCTTACATTTTGAACAATTCCTGTTTCATGCGGAATAATTGTGTCTTTGATTAAAGAAGATTTTGCCTTTAAAACAAATGATCTCTCCTGTTATTACTCTACTTCTGATACAGAACAATACTTGCTCTCATGATTTATACAGACCTTTCTCCCTTCATCATGAGAAAAAAGTACAGATTTACAAAATTCTGAAAAATAGTAGACTTACTGAGCTTCACCGAATGCTTTCAGAACTTCTCTGTCAAGGTAGTTTGGTGAGTACAACAGCTCCGGGTTGCTGCTAGATCCATGAAGAGGTGGCCGTGATGCAACCTCACCATCTAACAAGTCCTCCAACAGAGGGAGCTCGATGAGCTGCAGCAGCCTGGACACGGCCTGCTGGTGCCACACTTCACACAAACCTGCAAAGCCCCACAAAAGCATCTGTTTAAAGCATGAAAACATGGAGTCTGTCTCTGTGCATCACACAGACAATGACTTACACTGCTGTGAGAGGCCCAGGTTTATCAACTGAGGGGTGATGGTCAAGGTCATGTCGAGGTTTTCCAACACGTCCTCCAGTAATTTGACTCGTTTCACCGGAGAGTGGGTGGAATAAGTCGGCACCTCTTCCCTGAGGAGTGATGGAAGCCATTAGAAGCAATGATTGAAGAAAGCTAAAAATTTAATTATACTTTAGAAAACTTCTTTAAAAGGGAGTTTTTCTTGGTTTGTTGCTTGTTTAGCATATTGTTTCTCCAATCTTCTATCAGTGGCACCATGCCAGGTCTGGAGATTACTGGATGTCACAGCCGTCAGTCTGAATTAAGACAGTTCAAACAAAAAGATTACATATATATCATGGCTGTGGGGTTGTCACTTCCTGTTTTTTTTATCCCTATCTTCAACTATAGACTATATCTATAGCTAACAAGTGGACCCTCTGCACTGTCACCCATACGTTTCTGAAGAGCTGAAAAAGCCCAGTGGGCAGCACCCACAACCGCCATCTTGGCCATGTTTTGCCTCTTGTCCCTCCTGAATAATACTAAAATTGAGCTGAGAGAGGGTGTAAGGGTGGGGGAAGATGATTGACACCCATTAAACTCTGAGCCGATTTAAATAACTAAACTAACCCAGAGCTAACCGAAGCTAATGGAAGTTTGCGGGCACTTTTACCCAGAAAACTGTGGTTGAGCATCTCTGCTACCTTCTGCTTTCTAGGCTGCAACACATTTAAGAAGAAACAATTCTTTATATAGCACCTCTCATGAGAAAAATAATGAGGTGCTTCACAAAAAGGAAAAATACAAAAATTATTAAAGAAAAGGAAGAATTTAGATTAAAAAATATGAAGGAAGAAAAAAGAAAAATGGTAATCACGAGATTCGTGATTGAAACAGCAAAAGCCTGTCTGAACAGATGAGTTTTTAGCTGCTTTTTAACGAGACTGAGATCTTCCCTGTAGCAAGCAGAGGGGCAAGGCTCTAGCCATGACAGCTCATTGGACACCTATCAAAAGGACACACCCCTAATAAGTCATAATTTCAAGCTTTATTTACATCTAAATGGATGAATAACCAAAAATATCCATCCTCCTCAGAATTGTCTTGATGGTAAACTTGACCTATTAAAACTTAAATGTTTTTAAGCCAGGCTGTAAACATGTTCATTTCTGCTTTGAAGTTGGCATTTTAATATGGGAGTCAATAGGAACTGGCTCATTTCTGGAGCCAGCCCCTAGTGGATGAGGGAGGAACTGCACTTCTGTGTTGACTTCACTTTTGGCAGGTGGAGTTCCCCTTGTCTTCAACACATTTAATTTTATTATCAGTTTTCTTTATTTCCAAGCCAGTTAGTCTCCTCACTATTGTTTTCAACTCACATCTCTTTTTTACGATCCACTATTTTTGGCAAAAGCAAACTTTATCGTTAATGTGTCATAAACACACGTACTGTATATTTGTGATTTGTTTGACCTGGTTTATACTGCAAAACACAGAATTTCCTGTGTAACGATCCCTGAGAGAATGTGACCAGACCTGTTCTTCTGGAGTTTTTTTCTCTAATGTTTAGGAGTAAAATTCAAGCACAAAGCTTTTCTCTAGTTGTATTTATTGAGGTGGTTTTTTGTATATATTTTTTAATATCTCCTAGTTGTTGTTGATGTTTTGCCATTGACGATCTCTATTGGAGACACTAAGCATTCTACTCTTTACTATCTTAAAACCTGAAATACAAAAAACAATCAACAGTTGTTTAATGCAAGTATTTATATTAGTGTAACAACACAATAAAATCACTTTATTTTATTAATTACCAAAATAAGAGTATATTAAAAACAGACATGGGGCCTTGCCACCAGTAGATCCTCCACCAGAGGGCAGTAGACAACTAAGATCAGATAAGGCAGGTTTGTGATGAAGGCACCAATCCTGATGCTCCATCTGGACACTTTAAGGCTAGAAGTGGTTAAACAAGAATTTGCAGTAACAGTCTACAAGAAGTTAAATCCCAGAAATAAAAATGTAAAATATGGTAAACTACAGACAAGCTCTCAGTTGTTCTAGAAGAGATTGTTTGATATAAATTCAAGGAGAAGATGCTAGACGTTGTTGGGTGTGCCGAGTCTGGGGCAACAAAAAATCAAGAAATAAAATTTCAGTGTTCTGATATTCATTTGTTAGATATGTGATAATTACTAATCAAATAACTTTCTTTTTTATGTATGGGCTAACCCATGTTTTTGTGCTATCCCACATTTCTTCTCATGATTTGTCATCAGAGGAACATCAGAGGGATGTCATGGTGTCCAACATGTAGGGAAATTGTCATGCCCCTGCTCCAGCCAAGCCCCGTTTCCCCAGCAACCACTACCAGCTCACCATCAACCTCATCCAAACCACCTGTCTCACATGATCTCCTCATCAGCTCCACCTGCAACGCTCTCTATAAAACACCTGGACCAACACCAAGCCAGCGCCAGATTATTGGCTCTGACCTACGCCTCCTCACCACCCTGCCTCAGCCTCAGGCAACGCTAGATCTCTGTAAATGAAAGACTTAAAGCGCTTACTGTGTTTGGTTGTCCTCCCAGGTCTCCAAGTCCGATCGTTACAGAAATGGCATTAGGACCAAATAGTTTCCATAATCTGGGCAATAATGCTGGGAGGAAGCTCTGAATCCTGATTACGTCCACTTTCTAGAGATATCACTCTTGCTCCATCTTCTGTAAGCCCTCTTGTAAATTTTGGTGAATTTCATGCATTTATTGAAACTTTTTGGGTCAAATACATTATACAGGACCATTGACCAAATGTCATATGTCAAGAAAGGCTTTGGGATTTGTTCTCCTTTTAGTTTTCTATATAGTTTTTTTTGTCATTTATCACTCACTTTTTAAATATTATATCTTAGAATCTATACATCTCCAATTTTATAAATATACTGACATGATTCGTTCTATTTAAGGCCCAATCTAAAGTCAGAATTAGCTCTGGCTATTGTAGCGTACCTAAGGTCAAGTTTTTCATCAAAATGAACAGAACTGAACAAAACTTAACTTTTAACTTGAAGCCAAAGAAAAACAAGGATATACGACTGTGCAACCAATCAAGGAAGCAATATTATCTTTGCTCAAGGTCTCATGCAGGAGACGAGACCTCCTCACGCTGAATAAAGTTCATGTTCCTTGAATCATAAATGACTTTTTAAAACTTGATGATTGATACTCTACACTATGAAGGAAAAGGAGAACAAAGGACATTAAAACTGATGGAAAAATTGGGCGCGAGCATACCTTTCACATGATGGAGAATAGTCGCACCTCTTCTGGTTCCCGTTTGGTGAGCCACGGGCATGCTCATTGATATCTGTAGACTGGGAGTTGATGTCAGTCGCACCTGTCGAGGTTGTCGTCTCCGGATTAAAAAACCTGTACAAACTGCAGCTGCTGTCCTCAAATTTGGGTTTCTTCTTCTCTTTTCCAAACCCTTTAACACCCACCGGCTCAAATACCTTTGAGTCCATAAGGCACTGACAAAGACTGACCGCCTTGTGCCGCGGCACCGCCGCATCCCCAAAGAAGCCGTTCAGAGTGATATAGGTCAGCACCACATCCACGGCCTCTGACCCCAGGAAACAGTCAGGGTACGACTTCAGGTTGTGGCGTCTGTGCTTCACCTCCACTTGAGACTGGAGGTTAGAAATGATGCTGGTCCAGATGTAGGTGGCCCGGAAAGGTGTCCCAGCCATGCCTTGTTCTGGAGCAAAGACAGGGGGATGGAAAGGGAGAGAATGTGAGGTGGAAGGGGATCTGAATTCTGGATTAAAACAAAACTGGAGGTTCTGAGAACTCTTTAGGTGGTGTTGCTCAAAGGACCTCACCGCGAGTCCTGAAACCTCAGGTGAGTGAGTATAATGCAAGATGTTTTCTCAGGACATTGAGTCAAAAATTCCAGGAGAAAAACAGACACCAGCCGCTACTGGAGCACGGAAAGCTGATTTAAGTGATATGGCCACTACACACGCTACATGAATGTGTATAATAAGCTATGTTGGGCGACGGTGGCACAGGAGTTAAGTGCTCGCCCCGTAATCGGAAGGTTGCAGGTTCGAGCCCCGCTCAGTCTGTCGCTGTCGTTGTGTCCTTGGGCAAGACACTTAACCCACATTGCCTGCTGGTGGTGGTCGGAGGGACCGGTGGCGCCAGTGCTCGGCAGCCTCGCCTCTGTCAGTGCGCCCCAGGGTAGCTGTGGCTACATTGTAGCTCATCCCCACCAGTGTGTGAATGTGTGTGTGAATGGGTGAATGACTGGTTGTGTTGTAAAGCGCCTTGGGGGGTTTCAGGACTCTAGAAGGAGCTATATCAAATACAGGCCATTTACCATTTACCATGTTGATGCGGTAAAGGTGAGAACAACACACCGTGGCTCTATCTCTGAAACGGCAATGCTCAAATTTCCACAAACACTGATCTGTTCTGAGATGGATTTGTTTTCCCACAATTTAAAGTTTGACTTTCTTTGTATCGTCTGAGTGCATTCTTAGAAAAGTCAAGGAGCTGGACTCTGTTTTGGTTCTTGCCAACAGACACTCCTTGTCCTTTGTGTGTTCTTAAAACATATGAAAATGTGTGGGTGTCCAGAGTCCATCCAGGGTTGCTACGTACGAACGTGAGACTAAAACTGACGATCGGAAATGGCTCTTGTGTACCACATGCATGATTTTGATAAATGAAAAAGACACGAGACACTCTCAAAAGCCCTTGTCACCTTTGTTCCTAGTAACACACACAGGTTATGCTGCAGGAGATTTGAAGGAAGACACTTTCAACATTATCTGATTTCCCGGAGTGTCTTCTTATCGCTCCGTGTCCACTGAATCTGGACAAAGTCCCGTGTGATCTAACGCCAGCCAGACCGGTCACAGACAGCAGAGCTGGCCTCGCGTGAGACGCAAGCAAGGCTTTCATCTCCCAACAGCAAATTTCAGAAGCAGGTCTAAGAGCCTCGCTGAAGACAAGAGGCTTTAAATCAGGCTCTGTGTTGTGATAACGGATAATGACAAATGTAATTAGTGAGCCATCTGTAAAACTTAAAGACAAATGTACCCAAGTGATAGAGCAAGCAGGTCCTCATCGTTTCAAAGGTACAACAGCTGAATGAACTCCTAAGGAAGGTGTGTGATCTGTTGATTAATGAGAGGAATGTTAGTGTGTGTGTGTGTGTGTGTGTGTGTGTGTGTGTGTGTGTGTGTGTGTGTGTGTGTGTGTGTGTGTGTGTGTGTGTGTGTGTGTGTGTCCATCCGTGTCCCGGGGAGAGAAGCTTCCCTGAAATGTGGGTTTGCATAAAGGAAGTAACTGAATAGACTGCAGCAGCTGTTCAAGGAGGAACAGTTTGCATGCAAAAGGGGCCGACTGCACACTGAATAAGACATAAAGGTTGGAAAAATCATACAAATCTGAGTGAAAATCCCTACTTTTCTCTATTGCAGACGACTTATGTGGTTTTTGGCCAAAGATAATCAGAATTAATCTTAAGAGTCAAGGAAAGACCATCTGGGGAATCTCACCAGGGGTCTCGGGATTACCAGACACACCATGATTCCGGATCTGATCAATACTGATTAGTGCTTGTTAAGAGAAAAATGTGGGAGGTCAAGTGTGGGTGAAAACCATTCTGGGTACTGGGCTGAACCCTACCTCTTGTTGGAGCCAGACTGAGACTGAGCCCCAGTTTGCAGAACTGATGTGACTTCATCATCATCACCATCATCATCATCATCATCATCATCAAAATAAATAAATAAAAAGATTAAACCTCTACCGACAGACGGCGCGTGGGGAATTTCAGCCAAGGACAACAGCGCGCCGTGTGTTTGCTCACATCAATGGGAGTAAATAATCGCACAGGGAGCAGCGCTCTGCCTCAACCGCCTCAACACACGGGAACTGTTATGCAGGCTCACGATCAATCTGGCGTGCGTACGAGAAACACAGGTGACGAAATCACAATGTGGTGATCTCGTCAGACCGGCAGGTCGGGATGTTTTCACCCTGGACAGAGTCAGAGGTCCGTTTACCCCTATGGCACACAGTCCTTCTCACATCCTGATGGCACACACACGCGCATGCACATGCACTGCTATCAAACAAACCTATTAGTAACAACTTTGAGTAAAAAATATAAGAAATGCTTCAATTTTTTCACGATTGATAAAAAACGACAAGTTTTCATTTATTTTGAACATATGTCATATTTTATAACTGTAATTTCATTTAGGGATGAGTACTTCTTTTTCATGACTGTTTCTAACTATCACGTCGATTCAATCTGTGCGTAAAACTAACCTGCGTGGCACCAAACCAGACAAAACAAAGGATTTCTGAAGAAAAACAGCTGAAAACAGAATCAAACTTAAGAAATAAAACCAGTGTTTCGCCAGAATATTGTAAATAGTTTTACCTGCTGCTGCTTAGAGGCTGTCGGGGACAACCGTCCACACATGTCCTCGCTCCTCGAGTCAAAACGTGACGCACGCAGCTGACTGCAGTCAAAACCCGAAACTGTGCCCTCCCACTGCTCTACATTATTCAGTCTCCGACCCACCATCGTTTTAATGAGACTCCCACTGATTCCTGAACAAAAGGCACAGTTACGCACCAATTTCGTCTTGTTCTAATTAATTATTCTATAATTAAAACAATAAAACGCATTAGAACATGAAGTCCTTAAAGTGTTTGATTCTATTGTTTAATTCTGACTAACCCAACCGGAAACACACCTGAGCTTCATGGGAAGCAGATCTTTGCATCTGAGTTATTTTCTATATATTCTGGCGCTTTCTATGCCAACATCAGTGTTGTATGAAAAGAAAACTGAAATACTGAGACTGAGCTTTGGTGTAAAGGGCGAGGCAGGCGGTGCAAACCAGTTGGATTACTAGTCTTTTGACATTCCTTGTTTGAAAAATCTTAACAAACTGCTCTCTTTATTTTCCTGTTTGCATCTTAAACATGTCACAATAATAAAATGTGCACATATGATGTTTTGTTAAGTGTGCATTATACAAACCATGTGATCAGTGGTTTGGTAATCTGAGCAAAGCATGGGAATGCTTCCTGTTCAGCTGCTGTAAATCGCCTTCTCTGGATTCTCAGAGGAAGCTCAGAAATTTTGCACACGAAGCTCATGTCAGTATCTTTATTCTTATTTTATTCATTTTGTGTAATGTATCTTACTGTTTTCACTGCGCAAATCCTACTTTAAAGGTGCAATTTGTAATAATGACACTATGTGGTCAAATGTGGTTCCTGCAGTCCATATTTGTAGTTATGGATCAGCACCAGAAGATTCTACATGACAATTAACACTAGAACTCCCAGAGACTTGTCATTTGACAGGATCCTAGCCTGGCAAGCCAGACTAAATAAATGTATTATTTAGTCTGGCCACGCTCCATTGACGGCTCTCGGTTGTGGGGCGGGTTCTACCGTTGTCTTTCAAATGATCTCCGCATTCCACTGGACAATGAATGTGACATACTCTTGTTTCACTCTGTTGCATCATCTCACCCACCAGGCATATAGAGTGCCCTGATTGGCCCACAAAGCAGATAAAGCTCTGTGATTTGTTCACTAAGCAGATAGAGCACTATGATTGGCCCACCATTATGGACCAATCACAGCTCTTTATGTGTTTGAAACCCCTTTAGAGAGCTGTGATTGGCTAGCCAGAGTCCTGGTAGGAGCTGCTGAGGTTCCAATGGAGCATGCCTAGACCAAACTTTGCAAAGCAAGAATTTGGTCTAGTTCAGGCTAACGGCATCCCCCATCTCTACCAGAGTTGTCATTCGACTGGTCTGTTGTTATCTAGGATTCTTAATCACTTGTGGATGGTGACAATTCATTCAAAGATTCAAACATTTCAGGTTCCAAAATGTTGCCCGTCTGTGTCTCCAGTCAATCTTTCTTCTTTAGAGGAGTTCTGCTTACTGACGTGGAACACAACTCATCATCTGAAGACAAGTTAGAACTCTCTTGCAAGAGAATGGATTCTTCCCCCATCTGAATCACAAGAACCCATATTTTGCAGCAGAGCCAACGCCTCGGCAGCAGTATAGCCTTTAGGCATCTTTGTGTCGTGTTTATCAAGCCAAAGGTTCTTGTAGTAAACTGTCCTTATTTCCAAGTTTATATTGTCATCACAGTTCACAATCCCGCCCACCGTCCAACACTCCACACCCAAGTCTGTGTATGAGTATGACTTGTTTTCTACGCCTGAAAAGTAGCTTTATCATAGGTGTTAGGAGCCATCTTTTCAAATGCAACTATAGCGAGTTTGTCTGCTAAAAGTCACCTATTCACAATTACTGTAGCTGAACAGTTCAAGTCGGCCTTGCAGTTATCCTGCCTGTGAGGCTCTAATGGCAGGCCTCCGTTGTTGTTGGTTGGTTGTGATTTCTGACCACACTTCCTACTCTGTTTATGTAACCACACATAAAAGGCATTACAGAAAATAATGGCAACAATGAAAACAAACAACATAAGTACACCAACAAAACCATACATTACAGTTAGAAAAAGACTTGTACACCCCAAAGACAAGATATCAGCAGAACACAAATATGGAGTCATATATAAAATCCCACGCAAACTATGCAATAAAACATACACTGGTGAAGCCGGACGGCAACTCAACACTCAAACAGGAAAGGAAGTGATGCCACTAACAGTGGCAAAACTCTAAAGAAGGCTGCAGTGATTGTCGAAACATCAGTAAAACAAGGTAAAAATATCACTTTTTCTGTGTTAAAAAAAGAACCATAATGCAGTGCAAACATGAAGATTACTGAAAGTGAAAAGCTAGGAGAACATACGGATAAACTAACAAAATGATCAAACGTAACACCAAGAACAGGATCTCACCAAAAGTAAATCAAAGAGCAGAGGGGATAAACACAATTGGAAAAAAAACTGAGGAAAAAACTAGAACAGGAGAAGAGACTCTAAACAAAAAAAATAAATAAATAAAAACTACGAAAAACGCATTGCTCAAAGGCACAAAAACGGAAGCTAAATAAAAACATGAAAATACAAAAATTACACAAAAAATAAGAAAGTAAATACTGAAATGATCAGAGGCTAGAGCTGGGAATGGCTGGACTGTCACTGTAACAAGGGTGTGAGTATGAAAGCTGAAAGATAATAAATAGAGGGACAGAAAACGCATGCACAGGAAAAGGGGAGAGACATGGAAGAAACATGGGAGACATAGGACAGAGGACATGAACAATTCCACATTTTTCAGGATCCCATGTTAACCTAATTCATTTTTCATTTTTATTCTCCTTTTTAAAAATCTTAATTCTTCATTTCATTGTCAATTTTTTATTAAATTTTACCTCTTTTATATTTTAATTGTTCTTTTGAAGCGACCCGTGCTTTGTTTTTATTAAGCGCTGTTTAAAAAAATCCTTTCTTGTCCTTTGTGTGCTTCTGTGAAGTCTTTGGATGGACAAATTCAGCTGACCAGATTCAAGACAGGAGAGAGACAAGTAGAGCCACTGGGCCAGCCTGAAAGACTGACAACCCCCAACACCCAAGCACGTTCCATGGGCCATCATCTGTGGCTGGCAACATTTACAAATGAAATGATAAATGACTCGCACTTGTATAGAGCCTTAAGAGTAAGGGCTCCAAAGCGCTTTACACTACAGTGTATCATTCACCTATTCACACACACATTCACACACTGATGGTGATGAGCTACGATGTAGCCACAGCTGCCCTGGGGCGCACTGACAGAGGGGAGGCTGCCGAGCACAGGCGCCACCAGTCCCTCCGAAACCAATCAGCAGGCAAGGTGGGTTAAGTGTCTTGCCGAAGGACACAACAGCAGAATTCTCTGTCCGGAGCCGGGATCGAACCTGCAACCTTCCGATTACTGGACAACCTGCTCAACCTGTTGAGCTACTTCTGCCCCGAAAGGCAGCTAATGATCAGTTATCAAGCCAAGCAGTCATTTGGCAAAGCTCTGGTAGAGCTGCTGGGAGTTCTAGTGTTAAAGAAGAAGAGTCATACACAGTAAGGTGATAAGTAGATAAATACATCGTCATATCTGGTGCTGGCGCTCTTGGGTGTAGAGAGCACTTACTACACTTATTACGGTAGTTTGTCTCCGGTATAGTGCAGTTGTTTGTTGTCTTGTTGTTAGCTTGCTGCTGTTATATTTCTGAGCGACTCAATAAAGGAAGTAAAATGCCATGATTCACTTCACACGTACATTTCAATGTAATATTGAGTTGTTGGCAATTGAAAATGTAGCTTGAGATATTTTGAAAGTTGACAATTTGCTTCTAATTCATCCATCCATCCATTTCATCTGCTTATGCGGGGTCAGGTCATGGGGACAGCAACCTAAGCAGAGGCCCAGACCTCTCTCTCTCCAACCTTTTTGGTCAGCTCTTTTGGGGGAATCCCAAGGTGTTCCCTGGCTAGCTAAGGAACTTAGTCCCTCCAGCATGTGGTCTTCCTTTAGGTCTCCTCCTAGTTGGCTCTGCCTGGAAAACCTCACCAGGGAGGTGTCCAGAAGGCATCCTAACCAGATGCCCGAGCCGCCTCAACTGGCTCCTCTCGATGTGGAGGAGCAGCAGGTCTACTCTGAGCCCCTACCGAATGACCAAGCTTCTCACCATATGCCACCCTGTGGACAAAACTCCTTTTGGCCGCTTGTATGATCTCATTCTTTCGGTCACTCACTACCCAAAGCTCGTGACCATAGGTAAGGAGTGTATATCGACCGGTAAATCGAGAGCTTTGCCTTCAGGCTCAGCTCTCTCTTCACCTCGACCGACCGGTTCAATCCTCGCATCCCTGCAGACGCAGCACCAACCTGCCAATTTGCTTCTAATTGACAGAACTGTTAGCCCAACATTAGCCTCTGGCTTTCTTCAATCAATGTATTAAAAAAAGATGCCGTGGCTTCTTAGAGGTACGAGAAATAATATCTGGGTTGCTCCTGTTTACTGGCTTCAGTTCTCTGAACAATTCTGGAGCTTTTTGCCTGCCGGTGTCAAATTACAAATGCCAACTCTGCTGGTCGCTGCAGATTTTGCCACTTCACAGTGTAAATAGTATGTCCCACTTTCAGTTTTTCCTAAAGGAGAACAACTGACAACACCCTCAGCTGGATTAGATTTAAATCTAACCTTCCTTCCAACTAGACTCTTTTGTGATTATTTCACAGTAGAACTCTTACAAATTGTACTTTTAATAGTCATCAGCGGGTTCTAAACAAATAACCTCCATATTTTAAACCAAATCACCACCTCTGTTGTGTCTCACCCGCTCTTTTATCTTATGTCTTGACAGTCCATTGCTTTAGTTGTGCCATCGCCACCCCCACAAGTAAACCTTCTGGATTAAACTGCCAGTTTATAATCACAAATTAGTGAGTTCTGACTTTTTTCCCCACTTACAAGGGCAACCGATTCTTTAGTCCTGAATAGATAAAACTACCGGGCCGTTGTAATGGAAACATTTAACATTTTCACCCAATCTGAATTTATAATCAGATGAAAATACCAAAACA